CTTCTTCAGAAATAGCTTGTTAGCAACAGTATCTCTTTCAAACTGTGCTTTTAGCATCTCCCATGCTTCTTTTGGGGTCTTACAGTTTGTTATCAAGTACAATTGGGGTGTACTTACATTCAGTACCAACACTGAAAATGCCTTTTCTTTTTTCTGTTCAAATTCAGCTCATGCTTGGGCATTAGCATCCGCAGCTAACTGCTCCGTCTCCTGTACCATACCCCACAGTCCTTTTGCCTTCAACAGGTGCTCCAGTTGAAATTTCCACGTTGCCCAATTCTCCGGTCCGCTCAGCTTGTCAATAAACAGTCTATCTTCCATTGTGAATCCCACAATTCTGTTTATGACTCCCAAAAGAAAACGTGTTAGCAGCTTCCCTTGACGACCTCTGGGCCCATAACCTGATGTTTTTAATGAACACCTTTTATTGCTTGTAATGCACAAACACACCAACAGAAGGCAGTAATATCCCTTCAACGTACATTGTAAAATTACTATTACAACAGGGCTGACTGCTGGGAGAAGAGAGAGACAGACAGCAGTGATTCCAGGTGTTCACATTTTACATGAATGATTGAAGGTAAGCGCGGCATTAAGTTCTGCTTCTTTCTGGACGTTCACATTTGTAGTTCTGCTTCCTTGTTGGAGTTGTAATTGATCTGGACTGGTAATTGACATACTGGGTATTTTCCCGGTGGGCTGATGGGTTAATACATCATCATCATCATCATCATCATCATCATCATCATCATCATTATTATTATTATTATTATTATTATTATTATTATTATTCACAAGGAAATAAGTAAAAGTTTTCGTTCAGAGTCTTAGTTTAAAATTTCGCTGGGAGTGTCAGTTTTATATTGATTCTTTTATTCACAATGTGTTTTAGGTGCGAAACATTACTGCTGTTAGTCGGACCTTACTAAAACCACAACCGGAACCACAAAGACCGATGCTGATGTTGTTTTGACATAAAGGAAAGGTCAGATTAGACTGACTCTTATGAATTGGAAAAAATATAAATCAGATTGTTTCAAAGAAGAAATAAAATGCATTGAAAACCAGTGACAACTAGTTTGCTTAGGACATGGTTGCCATCTGTATTATTTGTATGACTCATTTGTATTATTTTATGTTTTCTTTTTTTCTATTGACAACCAGGACACGTAGGAAGTAGTGTGATTATGTATGTATGTATCTATTCATTTTATTTACTTATTTTTAATAAACAATACTTTTAACCTTTTAATTTTCTCAATAATGAAACAATATATTTTCTCTATGAATATATGCTGTGAATTTTCCAGGCGGACGCTATGGAAGCTGTTAAAAAGCTGCTTTTGGAAGCACTGAATGATTTAAGTGAAGAGGTTCTCCCAAAATTCCAGTGGTACCTGCAGTTTATACGCTTTCAGAAGGGTCTTCCACAAATCCCATTTAGTTTACTGGAGTTTGCAAAAATGAAATTTATTTTGGATGTGGTCGTTGAGACGTGTGGTCTTCAGTCTTTGGAGGTGACCAGACAAATTTTCAAGGACATGCAAAGAGCTGATCTGGTGCACAAACTGTCAAAGAGCAGCGCGGGTAAGATGAAGCAGTCTGTCCAAATGAAGATAAATACATATGCTGACATTTATAATTGTGTGTAATTAAGAGTATTATGTTTTAGTGTGTTTTTGTTTTACAGCCTGCAATCAAAGTAACATTTTGAATAAGATGAGTCAATGAACAATAAGCAGTTTTAAAATTGTTAAATGAAAGAAAGTATTTCTGCTTTTTTAAGAAGTGGATAATTTAACACTTATAGGTTAATTGTGTAAATCCAATTTAAAAAGAAGATCTGAAATTAGGCAAAGATTCATTGTTTCAGATTTAAGACACTTTCAAGCCAAAATATTTTTTGGGTTAATGAACCTCTTTACTTTGGTTCTTTTAAAAAAACAACCTGTTTTAAATTCCTCTGAAAATCTTTTCTTTCACAAAATGTTTTTGTTTTTGCTTTATTGAATTCTGGCATTTTGAGATAATTATTAAGTGTCCTGTAATGTAAATTGTTCTTTATTATTCAGAAGTGTCAGGCAGCAGCTCAGAACTCTGTGAATGTTTGTTAAACACTAATTTAATTTCTATTTCTTCTTTTGTTTCTTTTTTTAATGGAAAAACATCTGTCTGCACGGATCCACAAAGTGAGTAACGTCTCCTCTGTCTGACTCTGCAGAGCTCGGCTTTTTTAATAATCAGATGCAGGTTCATTTATTTAAAAGGGTTTAATAGAACAGAATTTGGATTTAAGTTGAACAACATTTACTAAAAGTGTGTTTATATCAATACACAATCTTCATAAATAAACATTAATAAGATAATAAAGGACAGAAGGAAAAATAACAAATAATGATCTTCAGTGAAAATACTATACAAATGTCTAAAATTACTGCTTTAATTTTCTCAGTGAGGAAACCTTTTATTTATGAATGTATCCTATGAATTTTTCAGGAGGCAACAGTAGCAGCTGTTAAAGAGCTGCTTTTGGAAACACTGAAGGATTTGAATGAAGAGGATCTGATGGACTTCAAGTGGTTCCTGCAGTTCAAATATTTTCTAAACGACCAACAAATCCCTTGTTGGCAATTGAAGAACGCAGGCAGGGAATTTATAAAAGATCTGATTGTGGAGGTGTGCAGGCAACAGTCTTTGGAGGTCACCACAGAAATTTTCAGGGACATGAACAGAATGGATCTGGTGCAGAGGCTGTTAGAGAGCAGCTCAGGATTTAAAGGTAAGATGAAGTAGTCTGTCAAAATGATCTGTAAAATAAATGCATATGCGTGGTGACATGACTTTTAATTGTGTGTAATTAAGAATTAAAAGCACATTACAATAAAACAAAATTCTGAAAAAGGCTTTCAAACTATCAGGAAACTGAACAACAGCAGCTTTTTTTAGCTTAAAAGGAAGGAACGAGTTTGCGACACAGACACAGGTCTTTTTTAAGCTGCATGGGATATTTTTGGGTAAATTTTATGTTTTTTAGGGTGCTGAATCCAAAAACCATCTCCATCTCCCTCCATCACGTTTTTTTTTTTTTTTGCAAAACATGAGGAGTTTACATTAAAAAAAAAAAGCACAAAAAAATTCTACATTATATTATATTAATATTGAGACTAAATCTGACAGAATCAGAAGTGCAGCCTTTCCTCTAAGGTTGATAAATTTTCTATTGGTAGCAAATACGACTATAGTGCTAACATTAATTCAGTTTGCAAAGAAAATTAAAGTTAAATTAATAAAAGAGGTTTTAAATTCCTTAAAATAAATAAGATATTTGTTTCTAATATCTAAAAGAAGTTGAAAAATTACAAATTTACTTTAAATTTTAATTGTGAAAAAGGGATGATTGATTATTGAGCCTGGTGTTAAAACAGTAATGGACCTTTTAATGTCTCTTTACTCTCAGAGAAAGACCAGGTGTATGAACACTGGCCTGCACTGATACACAACGTGAGTAAAGTCACATATGACTTCAAATGATGCAGCTTTCACTGAAAACATAAAAATGTGAAATCTTGAATGTGAAAAAATGAAATTCCATTTATTTCTTTATTTTTTAAAAGACTTTGAATCTCAGAAGTTCAACTTTTCCAGTGATTTTGGTGTACTGTAGATTTTTTAAAAAAGCCATGACCTTATTAACAAGAAAAATAATCTGTGAACATAAAAAAGTGTTTGTGATCAACCTGAAAAAGCTTTCCAGTTGTATGATTAGCTTGTATGACGGCTGATACAATCCAGCCAGAAAAACCATCTCACTTGAGGATTTACATTTTGCAATTTACAGCTTATGGACTTCCTTTTTTTTGAACACCAGGTAGAAGAAATGACATCTCTTGTTGAACTGCTTTTGGAAACACTGGCTGATCTGAGTCACAGAGAGCTCAAGGACTTCAAAGGGGTCCTCAGCAGAAATTATTTTTCAGTGATGCCATGGAGCCTGTTGAAGGTGGCAGACCAGCAGGACGTAGTGTTTTTCATGGTGCAGACTTTCGGCCAACAGTCAATACCAGAAATCATGGAGTGTTTGAAGGAGATGAAGAGGACTGATCTGGCTCAGAGGCTGTCAGACTGCAGCTCAGAACCCAAAAGTAAGAACAAATCTTTGGATGTAAAGTGAGAGAATAAGACACAGGAGATCAAGGATAATACAAATGAGTCATAAATAATACAGATGGCAACAACCTAAGTAACAGTATGGAGTATAAATATAAAAATGTATAAATAATTAGTAAGTATAAATAAAGTGTCAGTGGTGATTAGGGCGCTAGGGCAGCAGTTTCTTGTTCGTTTGCTTTAAGAAGTCTCACAGCTTTTGGAATGAAGCTGTTTCTGGTAGTTTTGCATGTAATGCTTCTCAGCCTCCTGCCTGAGGGGAGCGGGACAAAGAGTGTGTGTGCTGGGTGAGTGGGGTCCTTCACGATGCAGGTGTCCCTCTTCCTGCATCTGTAGGTGTATATGTCTGTGACGGTTGGGAGGCTGCCTCCAACAACTCTCTGTGCAGCCTTCCCTCTGTAGAGCTTTCCTCTCTGCCACAGTGCAGTTTCTGTGCCACACGTTGATGCCAGAGCACAAAACACTCTCCACCTCACAGGAGGAGATGTATTTGCACTAATGTGAGCTGTTGCTACTTTGACTAGGTTTATAACTTTATGCTACACTGGTTATATCATCATTTCTTTTTATAGAGCTTTATTGTCTTTTGTTAAACATTAAATTCTATTTTTTATTTTTGTTTTTTAGCAGAAAAATATGTGGATGAACATCTGTCTCCAATGATCCACAATGTGAGTAATGTCTCATCTGTCTGATTCTGCAGAGCTCAGCTTTTTCAGGTTGAACCATCTTATTGAAATGATTTCATCTTTTACAGTTAGGTCCACACGTGTTTTTACCTGTTACTGAAATATATTCAATTTATAGTTATATAATGGATATGGACATCATGTGTAGACTCGCTTTCATTTGAGGGTATCCACATTTAAATTGGATGAAGGATAACTGACTCAAAGGCTATTTCATGGGCAGGTGTGGGCAATCCCTTTATGTCAGTATTGATTAAGCAGATCAAAGCAACTCAGGAGTTTATTAAAGCAAAGAAGTGGAATATCCTTGAAAGGCCAAGTCAGTCACCTGATCTTAACCCAACAGAGCTTTTTACTTGTTAAAGACTAAACTTCAGGCAGAAAGGCCCACAAACAGACAGCAGCTGAAAACCACACCAGTAAAAACCTGGCAGAGCATTAAAAAGGAGGAAACTCAGCATCTGGTGATGTGCGTGAGTTTAAGATTTCAGGCTGTTGGTGTCAGCAAAGGTTTTTCAACCAAATATTAGAAATGAACATTTTGTTGAAAGTTATTTACTTTATCCAGTTACTTTTGAGTTCCTGAAATGAAGGGATTGTGTTAAAATGCTTTAATTCCAAACATTTTTATTCAGTCTTTTTGTTTAAGCCACTGAATTAAAACTGAAAGTCTGCACTTTAACTGCATCTGAATTGTTTCATTTAATTAAATTAATTGTGGTAATGTACAGAACCAACATTAGAAAGAAGTTGACTCTTTTCTAATATTGATGGACCTAAATGTAGAATAGATGGTTTTTCATTAAAACTTTAATAAAAGACGTTACTATATTTAAATTAATGCATGATCTTCACAGTAAACACCAACAAGATAATAAAGGATTGGTGGAAAAATGACAGATAATTGCGAAGTGTATCAGTGTTTTGGGGGCTGTAGAGACCAGCTCTGAAAATTAATAAATAAATGTTTAGAAGACAGCTTTAAAAAAAGTAGATTTCATGTCATTTAAATTTAATAGGTTTAGTAGAACTGAATTTAGATTTAAATTAAACGATAGGGTGTTTATATCAATACAGAATCTTCATTAGGGATGGGTACCGACCGGTATGGTTGCCATGATGGCACCGGTTCTGACATAAACGGTAGTAACCAGACCGAAAAGCAGCGCACATTTTGGTGCTTTATTTCGGTGCTTTTTTTTTTCCTGAGCTGTGATACACTT